TCTATAGTGATCTGGAGGAGGAAGCGGCGGTGTCTATCCATGAACATGGTGCACATCACCACATACTTAGGGCATCTTTGATATTAATCCTTCAGTGATGCTATGTAATTTTCCTTTCTAAATCTTGCATATTTGTAGGTATCCAATCTTCTTTGATTCCACTGCAAACGTTAAATTACAATTTCTAAATGTTCCTGGAATGTACAGATACAATTCATTTTTCTGAGTTTTATATCCAGAAAAATGCTCTTGATTTTTAAATGCTTTAAATGCTTTTTCTTTTAAATGCTCTTGATTTTTCTAACAATTTGATGACACGCTATTTTGGGTTTCTATGTAGACAATCCTATATGTGAGTATAGTCGTTTTATTTCTTCCTTTTCCATCCCAATGCCTTCAACTTCTTTTTCTAGTCTTACTGCACAGGCCATGACTTCTTATTTGTGGTTTTAAAAGATTGCTCTTATTGTTCCTCCTTTAGAAATGATATTTCTACCATTTACAGAAGAGGCCAAAGTTAACAGCACCAATGATGGGACAAACTGGCAGCATGTGTCCCATGACGCAATGAAACAAGAAGGACACAGCATCATACATGTGACAGTCCTGCCAAAAATACATAAATGAGTCTAATCATTTGAATTTGGGTTGCACATTATTATTTAGCACTGTATCGTATTGAATTCTCAGAATGTGGCTGCATTATGGTTTTATAAAGAAAATGTTCTTGTCTTTAGAAGAAGCAGAGAGAAGTACAGTAATCAGAGGTGAAGGATCTTATCTATAACTTCTCGCTGCTTCCAAATACACACACACACACACACACACACACACACATACACACCCAGACACAATCACACAATGCAAATTTGGTAAAATGTTAATAATTGGTGAACTCGATAAAACTGGAATTCATTCAACCATACTTGCAAATTTTCAAATTATAAAATAAATAAATGCTTTATCTGCTACAGGCTGTGTAATTCCCTTCCATCCCTGGCGCCACAGTTTGGATCTGTCATGTCCCACAAAGGCACAAGTAGGTATTTAAGGCTTGGTCACCAGGGAGGAGGTGCTATTGGGAGGTGGTGGAGTCTATAGAAGGTGGGGCTTGGTGTGTGTTTGAGGGGTGCTCCGTCTCTTGCACCCCCAGTCCTGTTTTTTATTTTGAGACAGGGTCTCACTTAGTTGCCGAGGCTGGTCTTGAACATGTGATCCTCCTGCCTCAGCCTCCTGAGGCGCTGAGGTTTCAGGCGTGTGCTACCCTGCCTGGCTCTAGTGGGCGGGGCAGGCTCTAGGTCACTGGAGCAGGCCCTAGAGGGGGCTTGTGCACTGTGACCTTTGCCTTCGTCTCTCCTTCCTGGTGATCAGGTGATGGTTTCACTGCCCCATGCCCTCCCCACAGGATGCCCAGCCTCTCCACAGGCCCGAAGGCAAAGGGGCCAGTTGGTCATGGACCGAAGCCTCCACCACAGTGAGACACAGTGACTGTCCCCTCTTTCTGTTCGTTATCTCAGGTGTTTGTTATAGGGACAGAAAGTGGACTAACACTACGTGTTTGCTGAGATTTTTCTCCTGGGTGGGCACTGAGCTTTACCAAGGGCTTTTTCTGCATCTGTGGAGAGAACGGCAGGATTCTGTCCTTTCATTGGTTAAGAGGACTGACATTTGCCTTTGTTGGTTGACGAGTATTAAACCACCTTTATTCTGTTATAAATCCAACTGGATCCTAATTATCCACAGTTTCACTCTTTTTTTTTCTGGTAATTTTGCATCCATCTTCCTGAGTGTCATTGGTCTGTATTTTTTTCTTTTCTTTCTTTCTTTCTTTTTTTTTTTTTTTTTTGTGGTGCTAGGGATGAATCCAGGGCTCCTGCCCACTAGGGGGACACTGTCGCTGAGCCACATCCCAGCTCCATCTACAATTTTTCCTTCTTGTTCTGTCCTTGTCTGGTTGGGTATCAAGGCCGCGCTGGCCTCACAGAATGAGGAAGGGAGTATTCCATTTTCCTATTTTTAGAAGCTTGTTATCTCTTCCTTGAAAGGTTTGTAAGAGTTGCCTGTAAATCCATGCAGGCCTTGTGTGTATGGATGTGTAAAATCCAACAAATAGGCAGAACACAAGTGCCTAGAGTGTAAGGTCCTGATGAGCTGTCGGGAATAAACACCCACCGGTCAACAGAAACCCCCCCGCTGGGTCAAGACAGGAGAACTCACTGGCACGGGGACCCCCTACAAGACAGCTTCCAGTCACGACCTCTCCTCCCTCACGGGGCTTTTGTAACATTCTCTTCTTGCTTTTTAAAAAAATTTTACTAATTGATTATGCAGCCCTTACAGTATAGTTGAACACAGGCTGTTTTCAATCTTAGGTAAACGGAATGGTACAGTTTGTAACTTGTAGGGCTTATTTCAATCTAGAGGAGAGGCACCTTGTTCTTTATGTGGCTACACTTTGCTCCTTTTCAGGGTTGTGTACATTCAGTAGTTTGGACGGACCACTACTCATTTATTCAATTCGTCAACATCCTGGTTTTTCTAGTTTTGCAATAATACGAACAATGCCCCTAGCCCATACTTCCAGTGCACGCGAGTACATTCCTACATGGTATATGTTTAAGGGTAGAATTTCTGGGTCATAAATATGTTTATTTTCCTTTTTAATATAATTTTTTTCAAAACAGGCATGCCAATATACACACCCAGCAGAAGTATCTGGTAGTTTGTTTAATCAATCAATTAATTAATTAATTAAATTTTCTTTGTTGATCGACCTTTATTTTATTCATTTATTTATATGTGGTGCTAAGAATCGAACCCAGTGCCACACATGCTAGGCGAGTGCTCTGTCACTGAGCCACAACTCCAGCCCTTCTGCTATTTTTCTTTAAGGAAAATTTTTGTTGCTCAATTTGTTTAAACATTTATAGAACTGTTCAGGCTTTCTATTTCTACTTGAATTAATATTGACAAGATATGTATATATATACATATATAAGTATATATATATATACATATATATATATGTAGGAATTTGCCCATATTGTAAACATTTTCAGATTTATTGGCATAAAATTACCTCATATTAGTATCTTCTTAGATTTTGGAACTCTGCTGCTATCTTGCTTTTTGGGTTCCTGATGTTATTTGTATCCTCTCTTTTATTCTTTCTTTGGATTTATTACGTTGGATTTTTCTCCTAATCTTTTTTTTACCCACCCTCAGTTGGAGGTTGAACCCAGAGGCACTCTACCACTGAGCTACATCCTCAGTCCTTTTTACTTTTTAAATCTTGAAGTAGTTGCACTAAGACTGGTCTTGAACTTGTGATCCTCCTGCCTCAGCTTCAGGAGTAGCTGGGATTACAGGTGTGTGCCACCACACCTGGCCCGGAAGGAGAATTGAACACTCAGTGTGAATTGATTTCTAACTCAATTTCTTGTGATCAGTAAACCTCGTCTGTTGTCTGGCATGCGGGCAGATGCCTGTGGTCCAGGAGGATGAGGCAGAAGGATCCCAAGACTGATCGGCTGGGGATGTAGCTCAGTGGTACAGCCTTGGCTAGCAAGCACGGGTCCTGGGTTCCATCCCCAGTACCACATACACAATCATACACACAATCACACACACACACACACACACACACACACACACACACACAAACAAAGTTGGCAGCCAGCCTTAGCAACTTAATGAGACCCTGACTCAAAAATAAAAAAGGGTTGCATATGTAAACTAGCACAAGGAAGGAGACGAAAACACCCTGCCTCGGGGATTCTGATTTGCACTATGACCCTAACTTCTGAAGTCCTTTGGAGGTCTAGGTCTGCCATTTCCCACTTCAGCTGACTGTCACTCATGGTGGCGCACCTGCACAGTGGCCTTGGTGAATTATTATTTCCCTGACTTCAATCTGCTTCTCCCTGAGAGGCTTCACACCTGTTTCTTTCTTTTTTTTTTCTTTTTGGAACTGGACATTGAACTCAGAGGCACTTTACCACTGAGCTACATCCCCAGCTCTTTCTACTTTTTTTTTTTTTTTTTTTTTTAAAGAGAGAGTGAGGGGGGGGACAGAGAGAGAGAGAGAGAATTTTTTAACATTTATTTATTTTTTTTCTTAGTTCTTGGCGGACACAACATCTTTGTTGGTATGTGGTGCTGAGGATCGAACCCGGGCCGCACGCATGCCAGGCGAGCGCGCCACCGCCCGAGCCACATCCCCAGCCCCTCTTTCTACTTTTTCTTTTTCTTTTTTTTTTTTTTGAGACAGGGTCTCGCTAAGTTGCCAAAGCCCCAAACTTGCAATCCTCCTGCCTCAGCCTCCCGAGTTGCTGAGATTACAGGCGTGGCTTCACATCTGCTCTGCTGTGCACCAGAAGCACTTCCAACCAGGGAGCCCTACCGTTCTGCCTTTAGGCCGAGACTCAGCATCGCTATCCTGAAAATATTTGCTATCAGAGGGATTCGTGTGAAGCATTGCTTTTGGGAGTGGGAAACAGTGAGCATCGGCAGGTGCCATCTATACTATCCACGCCCGCTCTGAGGACAGGCCTGATCTCGCTCTTGCTTCCTGCTTACCTCCTCATCCTGCCTGGATTCCTGCCTGACATTTGTTCTCTCTCTCTCTCTCATTTTGATTTTGGCAGGGAAAGATGACTTTGGAGATTTCCCCAATCTCATATGAGTCCAGCAAAGCACTAAAAGTTCCATTTTCCTCAGGGGTGGATTAGTGTGCAGAACTGTTCTGCAGCGGGAAGAGGAGGTCCCAGGCCAGCTAGGCCAGACGTTGGAAGCTGAAATCCCAGGAGAGGTACATTTTTCCCAAGAAGGAAATAAGGCTCAAAGAGGCAGAGTGACTTACCCAAGGCCACTCAACTAGGACTAGGCAGGGCTAGGACTGCACCCTCCTGTGGGCTACAACCTAGGCTCCTCCTGCTTTATCTCTGCCGGCACTGCCTCCAGAGACCTGTCTGGGCTTCGGGGTGTCCAGGGGGCCTTACCTGGTGTAGGGGGATGACGAGGAAGGCCCCCCCGCCAGCACACTCAGTGACAACTGCGATGAAGTGGGGGTTCACAGCACAGAAGTGGTTGTCGTGAACGCTGCGGGTGATGGGCACCGAGTCGTAGCAGTTCTCTTTGCTGGCTGGTTTGCCAAAGACGTGGCGGAACTTGGAGCTCCGGTACTGGGGGTGCCATGACATCTGCAAGAGACAAAGGGGACAAAAGGCATGAGGCGCTGTGCCCTGGCGAAGGGACGCCTGGAGAGTCCACCTGAGAATACCTAAGAGGGACGTCCAGCAGCGCTCGGTTCTAGCTAGACAGTGACCTGCTAGGAAGAGGCCACGTGGGCGGGCCGTGACTGAGGCTGAGGATGCATATCCGGTGAGACAGGGTGCATATCCGCTGATCTGCTTGCCGATCGCGGGGTTAAGGCTTCCATTTCTTTAAATGTGAACACAAACAGAGAGGCCCCAGAGAACTCGCCACCCCATCATCCAGCTCAACTGACTGACTCCAGTTCCAGCTCTTACCCACTGGATGGGCGTCTTAACCTCTGCAGTCTCAGTCTTCCTGTCTGTACAATGGGGTGACCAAAGCATCAGTCTCAGGTCTTGTCATGAGGACTCAATTAGTGACCTATTTAGGTCGCGTGGCGCATGGCAGATCCTTGACAGCAGCAGTTTACTACCACTTCAGAGAACCCAAGGTTCTGGGATATGCACCTGTCCGTAATGAGATATCTTGGGGAGGGGACCCAACTCTAAACAGGAAATCCCATTGTTTCATGTACACCTTATACACAAAGCCTGAAGGCAATCTCACACAATAGCTCTAGGGGGCCTGTGTTTTAACTCCAACGTGTCACATGGATTCTCCATTGGTGGCATTGTGTTGGTGCTCAGATTTTGGAGCATTGCCGACTTTGGGTTTTGGGGTCGGGGATGCTTGACCTGTACCATTACCCGGGCATCTTGAGCTCCTCTGCCCTTGGCCAGCCTGCGTTTGCTCACTCCGTATTTACTGAACGTCACTGCGTCTGGGCCCTGTGCCGGGCACGGGGGGCTTGCAGGCAGCAGGCCAGAGCCCAGCCCTTCCAGCAGCCAAGAGTCCTGGGGGCGAGGCCGATGGGGGGATCTGGGCCACTGGGACCTAGTGTGCTGTACCAGGGGCTTGTAATGGCAGGCAGGAGGACTTCCCAGAGGGAGTGACGGAGCTGGCCATGGAGGCAGGACAAGGGAGAGCTGGGGGAGGCATCCCAGGCAGATGGAAGAGCCTGAGGCAAAGGTCTTGTGACAGCAGCACACTTGGGAAGTTGGGGGAACTACCTCTGATTTAGCAAGATGAAGATATTCAAGGAAAAGTCTCTCTCTCTCTCACACACAAACACACACACACACACACACACACACACACACACACTGGGCCCGGCTCTCCTGAAGCTCAGCCACCTCCCTGCAGGGAGAAGCCACAGTATCTGAGTGCTTATCATATCCCAGGCACCCTTCCAAGTGCTTCCCATGACTAGGCACGACTGGGTGCAACCCGGCTTCCCAGAGGCAGGCAGGAGGCAGGGAAGTAGGTCACCCAGCTAGGAAATGGTGCGGCCGCCCAGTGCCGGCGCCTCCCCAGTTCCCACAGTGGACTGGGACCCCACAGCATCTGTCTCACGCCAGCCCCTAAGGGGACCTGTCATGACCATTCCATTCATAGCCCCACTTTACTGAGAAGGAAGATAAGCAGCAGGAAGCTAAGTGGCCCCTTTGGAAAGGGAGCTGGTGGCCTTGATGGGTGAAGCAGCTGGTGGCCGACCAGTGCAAACCCGAACACCCTCCTGCCCGGCCAGCCCTCCTCTTTCCTGCCAAGGTTCCCCCAGACCTGCCTCCAGGGGGGACCACTGCAGATGTGGGGGGCGAGGAGGCTCCAGCAAGGCTTGCCTTTCCCCCCGTCTGCAGGTGCTATGTACAAACCCTCCGTGTGGCACCTGGGCTCCAAGTCCCCCTCACCAGCCCCCAGCTCTGATGGGGAGGTGCCTGGAGCCTGCAGGCTTCAGTGACTCAGCGATCCAGAGAGCAGGAGTCCTGCTTCCCTACAGGCAGGCACTTGTCCCAAGTGAGGGCTGTGGCGGCCCCTGGCCCTGGGGCAGCCGTCACAGCCACAGCTGCCTTCTCAGGAGGGGCACAGAGCAGGAGCCGTGTCTGTTCTGCTGCTGCCACCTCTGCGTGCCCAGCTGGGCTGGGGCCAGGGGATTAGGCTCCTGGGACTGTGGATTCTCCACGGGGTTCAACCTGGCATTGAGCTTATTTCTGAACACCTGGCGGGGTCATGACGGCTCTGGCCTGTCCCATACTTTACGACTCTCCTGCGAGGTAGGTGGGGGTGGTTGTCCCCACGTGACGACGGGAGAACTGAAGTGCAGGGGATGGCAATCAGGCTGGCTTGAGCCACGTGCTCCTCTGACACCGGGTGTTGGTGGCGGTGGGTGTGTGTGAGGGACAGGAGGGGACAGGTTTTCCTGCCTGTTCCCAAAGGCGCCTCTCCCGCTCCCCGCCCCTGACATTACTGCAGGACAAGGGTTAGTGACAGGATGGCGGAAACTAACCCACACTGGGTGTGGCACCCACCAGCAGAGTAGATGATTATTCATTAGCCTCGGGCGAGAGTGAAACTACCTGATTCGGTCTTTGAACTTGTGGGCTGGGTAGGAATCTGGAACTGCCGGCTACCATTGTCCCTTGGTCAATTTGCGGTGGCACTTCTAATACCTGAAGTACCCCCCCACCCTTCAGCTTTGACGGTGTAGGCCCCAAAGAACCTCGCTGCGAGCACCTCCTGGGAGGTTCTGAGCCCCACTGTTAGGTCACAGGCCAGGTAACAGAGGGGCTTAGAACCATGCCACCCGGAGCCTCCCTTAGGCCAAGCACTGGAGAACCCAAGTGCTTCAGAGTTCGGATTTTCTCAGCTTCTGGAATATGTGCGGGTCCACAGTGAGACATCCTGGGGAGGGGACCCAACTCTAAACCCGAAATCCTGTGGTTTCCTGGAGGTGATATCACACAAAAGAGTTCACCGTTAGCAAGACCCTAGACCTCACCTTGAGAGAGGTCGGCAGAGACCATGAACTGATAGAGCGAACGCCTGATTACACAGGCCCCTCACCTGGCCTCGGTCGGTGGCTGAATATTACCCCTCCTAGAGTTCATCCTGACCCTGACCTTCACCCCAAACTTGACGGCAAAGCTCCTTCCCCCCAACCTCGATGGCGCGATGCTCTTCTCTCCCTCCCCTTGAGTTCTCAACAGAGCTGGGTGGTGGGGCACACGCCTCTAATCCCAGCGATTCGGGAGGCTGAGACAGGAGGATCGCAAATTCAAGGCCAGCCTTAGTTTTGTTTAAAAACCCTGGGCAATTTAGTGAGACCCTGTCTGAAAAAGGAAAGGCTGGGATGTAGCTCAGTGGTAAAGTGCCCTTGGGCTCAATCCCCAGCACCAAAAATGAAAATAGGATTCAGAAAGGGGCTCTGACTAACCAGACGTGGGCAAGGTGGCCGGCTCGGGTTGCCCGCCCTTGGGAGTCAAGGCCACCCTGCTGGGCGCCCAGGCCTCTGCCTCCCCCACCTTCTCACGGAGCCTTCCTGTCTCCCCAGCAGAACAGACGCCCGTCTCGGCTGCCTCTCCTGGGTGGGGGCTTCATCCACAGTGGTCTCTGCCAGCCTGGGGCCAGGCTCTGGGGTCAACCATAAATCCTGGGCACAGAGTGTCTTTATTTTAGCCACCCAGAGGCCAGTAACAGGTCTAAAGTGACACAGTAAAACCAGGGAGCTAGAAACGAGGGTCCCAGTCCACAGGGCTGGTCTCCCTCCTTCCTTCAAAGTGAATAAGGAGGCCGACCCCGTCCCTGTGAGCTGGGGTTGTGGAGGGTTCCTGGAGCGAAGGACATCGCAGGACAACGGAGACGAGCTGGTCACTCCACCACATGTCACCACCCTGTTACATCCCCAAGAGCCCCGACTTTGAAAGCCTTGCCAATGAAAGAGAAAGTTCTAGAATTGGTTTCCTAAAGAGGCCAACGTCTAGCTGGGCGTGGTGGCCCACGTCTGCAATCCCATTACTTGGGAGGTTGGGGCAGGAGGGTCACAAGTTCAAAGCCAGCCTGTGCAACTTAGTGAGACCCTGTCCTAAAATAAAAAGGGCTGGGATGTGGTAGAGGGCTGGCCTTGCATGCACCGAGCCCTGAGTCCAGCCCCAGCCTGTGAAACAAGACAAAACGGAAACCGACATCCTGAACCACAGATCAGAGCATTCCAAAGCCTAAATGCGCACGCAGGTTTGCACAGGGTGGACTCAATCATCAAGCCTCCGGGTCGGCTGGGTCCTCATTCTGTGTCACGCCCTAGGCTGGGTGCAGGTCTGGAGGGTCAGATGATCAATTCTGTCACTGCTGTCCACCTGTTGACCCCTCTCGGGGAAATGGCCAAGTGCAGGGAGAGATGGGATGGTGTGACCTGGAGGACTGGGGCCTTGGGTGGTTTGCCAGATTCGCACATCAGAATCATTTAAACGGCGACACTGGCTGTGGGGCCAGACCTAGCACTCCTGCAGCTTCCGGGGGATCCCAAGAGCATTAAGGCTAAAGGAACAGAAACTTCTAAGGGAGCAATGGGGTGGCTGTTAAGGGGGAGCCCCCCTCGGGCATCATCACGGGGCCACCCCTTAGAAGTGCAATGCTCAATCCCCACAGTCCGGGCGGGGTGGGACCCTCCTGGGGCACTGCCCCTCTGGGGTCATCTCTGAGCTGCAGCGTAATGGGTGGGTCGGGCTGGGAACACCTGAACCCAACGGCCAACCTTAGCATCACTGGAAGAGGTGACCTCCCGGGATGTGCCCCAGAGTGCGAAGCCCCACTGATGAAGTCTCTGCTGTGCCCACACACACAGGAGAAACGGCCCTAAGCACAAGGATGGGGTTGGCCAACTCAGGAAACCCCACCCATCGGGCTCAGGGATAGGGCTGCCCTGCCTGTGCAAGGCCTGGGTTCCAGCACCAGCATCAAAAAAAAAAAAAAAAATCCTTTCCATCAAATTCTGGTTAATAACATTACTTCAAAATGGGCCAAAGAGCTAAGCCTATAAAACTCTTAAAAACAGGGCAAAAGCTTGGAGACGGACTGGGGTATAGCTCAGAGGCTGGGCGTTTGCTGGGCA